GGTCAGTTGTATGGCACGTGAATTATGTCTCAATAAAATTGCTACCACACAAAGGTTATGGGGTGACAAAACTGGCCAGTGAATACTTCATGAAGTGTTTAAAATATGTATAAAAAATGGGTAGAGATTTTGATAAGTGATACAAGGGAAGGTGTAGAATGGAAAAATGTGAAGGATATTTCTGGTTAAGAAGTTTGGATATTGGTGTAGGAATGGATGGGTGGATTATTGGTAAAAAGAGCTTACACAGATAAAACATTTTTTTGATAATTTGCAGAACTGATGAACCATAAGTGACCATCATCAACATGAACCCAGAATTCCCTAACTTTGCAAAATGACTAATATTTGTAAGTAACAATAAAAAATTTCTGTACAAATTCCAAATCTGTTATGGAAAATATTTGTACTTTCACTCAGTGTATGTGACAGAACTACCATCCTAAAAAAAGGAGGTACGTTTTATCAGTGGTACACAATTCTATCAGTTGAAGTAAATCATTCACTTGTCAATTCATATAAATTTGAGTTAATCTTAAATTTCAGTTACTTAATAATTTTTGAAGAAATAACTTGGCAGAGTAAGTTTCAAATTAAAATGTATATCAGGGTTTTAGATTAAAATCAGTTAAATTATATTAATTAATTACAATGTTTTAAGTAACAATATAATTAGTAAATTGAAATTTTTAGTTACGTATGGAATCTTAGGTGCTAATTCACTTTGGTGAATCACTACAAACTAAAAAAAGCAATTAAAATAAAGTTAGGTGTTATTAATATAATAATTACTTAACTGATTTGCATACTTCTATATTATAATTATATTAGCCACTTGCTACAATGCATAATAAATTGAGTAATTAATAATCACACACATTTAACTTGCCTCTTGAGATGAACAGCTTGGGAAGAAAGGGAACTAAAAAGTGAAACAGAAAATTGTATGACATTTAAAGCTGTAAAATTTGTGGACCATTTTATCTTTATTAAAACTAGAAAACTCCAAAGAAAATGGGGAAAAAAAGGAGTCAAAATTCAAATAAAATTGTGCTAAAAAATACTCTACCCAATTTTCTTAACTTACCGGAATGATTTTAGAGAACTGATATATAAAATCAAAATTAATTATTGGGCATATTCATAGACTTCTAAATATAGTATAATGGACCAATGTAAAAATGGAGGTATAAGCTGAGGATCTTGTTTTGACATTATTTTAGGAGAGTCTTGAAGTATATACACATGCATATTTAAATATAGTATTTGGTATATTTCAATTCAAACCATAAACTATGTATTTAAGAGGAAATACATTATTTTATTTACTTTTTAATCTTACACAAGCAAATTAATCTGTCTTGGCCTCTAAAGCCTCATTTGTAAAATTAGGGTAATAATAGTATCTAGGTCATAGGGTTATTGTGAACATGAAATAGGTTACTGCATATAAAGCTCTTTGAACACCGCCTGGTTCTTAGGAAGCCATGCAGCTATTCTTTTCTTTTTCTTTTTCTTTTTATAAACAAACACTGAACCTGTCTTGTAAGCCACAGAATAGAATTAATCTTAACCAAATTAGTACTTTCCTTAGTTTTCTATTCTAATTAGCGTATTTTTTTTTCTTGGGATTTAACTTGACTCATAAGAAATATTGCATATTGACAAATTATAATGCATGGTCTCCTCATTTGTGTGCCTATCAGCAAAACAGGGCTTTGTAAGAACAAGAAAATGAATTAGGCTAATCGGCAGGCTTAGGTTTACCATTATTATTATAAAAATGGTGCCTTCATTCAACGAAACTCTAAAATGTAAGAACTCTTAAGTACTTGTATACTTTTGAAGGTACATTTCTTACATTACTGATATGCAAGTCCTATCACTAAATCATGAAAAGATCAACCTGTAATTTTTTTTTTTTTAAATTTTTTTTTTTCAACGTTTATTTATTTTTGGGACAGAGAGAGACAGAGCATGAACGGGGGAGGGGCAAAGAGAGAGGGAGACACAGAATCGGAAACAGGCTCCAGGCTCTGAGCCATCAGCCCAGAGCCTGACGCGGGGCTCGAACTCATGGACCGCGAGATCGTGACCTGGCTGAAGTCGGACGCTTAACCGACTGCGCCACCCAGGCGCCCCAACCTGTAATTTTTAATCCCAGAAATGGAAAATGGGCGTTTGTTATCTTACATAATATTTCCAGACAACAGTATCAGATTATACTAATTTTAGGATGTCCTGGATTTTAATGAGTGTACATCTCCTGTGATACAGAAGCACTCTTTATAAAGGCAGCTTAGCACTATTTGGATATATAGAACTTTAAGTTATATACGAGAAAGCCACTATTATTTAATAAATTTTAGTTTTGGAGACAAAGACAACCAAAAAGTTACATATTTATGTGGTCCGCAATTTTATTAACCTCTTAAATCTAAGAATAGTGGTTTGTAATTAACTTCTAAAAATGATTTCTCTGTGACACTGTAACTATCCCGCCAGTCTAGATAATAAACAGGCTTCAGCATTTACAAGATGAACCTATGTATACCTATATATTATGCAGACTATTTCTGTTACCTTTACTTCTCCCTTCGCAAAACATCCATCCCCTCCTTCTTTTCTACTGCATTCAAAGCTCAGTGTCACATTCATGGATTGCTGTTTTAAAGATGAACATTACTGACCAGATCAGGGATCAATATTTTAGGACACTTTGTAAGATTTATCGGACACAAGCATTCTGCAAAAATAGTATGAATTCGAACCAGGTGGAAATAGATAGGAGTGGATCTGCTCAAAGAAAAATCTGTTTAAAAGACTGAAGTTACAAGAGTCTTGACAGTGAGTTGGTCAAGAGCCACATAATTAGGTTTTTAACTAATTTACTGCAAGCATACTTTCATTGTCCTGTAGGTATTTTAACTTAATGTTATTTTGGGAATTTTGTTTAAAGTATTAATAGGGGCGCCTGGGTGGCTCAGGTCGTGATCTCATGGTTCATGGGCTTGAGTCCACGTCAGGCTCTGTGCTGACAGCTCGGAGCTTGGAGCCTGCTTCAGATGCTGTGTCTCCCTCTCTCTCTGTCCCTTCCCTGCTTGTTCTCTGTCTCTGTCTCTCAAATATAAATACAAGTAAAAAAACTGTTAATTAATATTAATAATTACTCTAGCTACCATTAAAGGAGAGAAACATAAAGAAGTTATGAGTCTTTATTGGATTTTGCCTCTGATAGTACAGGGAAAATCTTTTTACAATAAACTTCAGGGTACCAGCCAAATTTGTATCAACTAATTAATTACTTTTATAATGGAGAGTCTAAACTAAATTGTATAATTATTGAACATATTTATTACCATATGTGAATGAGGAAAGACAACACATTATCTAAAAAGGTAACAAAACATGTTTATAAATTTTCTCTACTTCTTTAGGATCAAGAATAAGACCGGGAAAAGAGAAAACAAATCTTTGGGAAAAAGAAATCACAGACTTCATTTGCTTAAACTTCCAAATGGCCTCTGAGTAAATCTTTGAACTAGTAAAACAAACCACAAAAACAACAAAACCAAAACTTCAACACTTACCTAGGAATTCAAGGCAAACACTTGTTCATAGACTTAGGATGAGTTCCAAATGGAACACATAATTTTCATGATACAGAAACGTCAGTGACTAGACTAGGTATATGCAGGAGCTGGTATTAGAATAACCTTATTAAACATTTTATAGAAGAGGGAGAATAATGTGCCACCTCTAGTTTACAATTAATAAGAACACCTCTGGGAAAAAGAGAAATCTCTAACTGGTAGAAAACATCACCAGGGGCTTTCTTTTTTCTTTTTAATTAAAGCTTATTTATTTATTTTGAGAGAGAGAGAGAGAGAGAGAGAGAGAGAGAGAGAGAGAGAAAATGAATCCCCAGCAGGTTCTGTGCTGGTGGTGCAGAGCCCGATGTGGGGTTCCATCCCATGAACCCTGAGATCATGACCTGAGCCAAAATCAAGAGTCAGATGCTTAACTGACTGAACCACCCAGGTGGCCCTCACTGGAGGTTTTCATAAAGCATGCCAGATCATTTTCAGCACATTTCTGAAAACAGAAGTGCTATTTTGTAAACAGAATGATGAATACAAGTCCACTTCTCTACTGGCACCTGCCTCCCCACTGTGGTATGGACTGAAAATACAGAATTGAGGGAAGACTCAGCCACTTTTTGACTCTAAAGCAGGAGTTTTTCACTTAAGATCCAGGATATGATTCTATGGACTGGTTTCCAGGGGTTAGTGAGCCCTCTGAAATTGTGTACAAAATTATATGTGCACCTTCGTGAAGCAACCTGTTTTCATCAGAGTCTCAAAGATGGTGTAAAACCCAAACAAGGGTATAGGCCAACACTCTGAGATATCCATATCCCACATGGTCATGGCAGGTACTGCTCTGAACTGACATTAGACCAGCATAGGACAAGATGGAAACTGAGGGCAGACAGGTGAAAGAATGTGGGGGTTAGCAGTGTGGGGATAGAGAAAAAAAAAAACAGGAATGGGGAGGGACATTCCCAAAAGTGACAGCAGGGAAAAAAATGGCAAATTCGATGGTCTCGGGGCTGAGGTGGCTGTTCTTCATAGCCGTTAGCATGTTGGAGTCACATGTATGTTGATGAGTCTAGCATTCTGTCCCCCCTTCCAATTATTCAGGCAGTTAGAGAGGACAATTTATGCTATACACTATCTCACATTAAAATGTTGCTCCTCATTACAAAGAGAGTAGGTACAGTATTCAATTATTAGTAGTAAAATACATATTTGTTTGGTATGTACTTTCTTCTCTCCAATATAAGAAACGAGATAAAGTAAATGATTAATGTTCACGAGATTCAGCCTCGTTCCAACCACTGGTACAAACTCATTCACCAGGAGACAGATCTCCAGTTCAGGAACTTTGTGTGTATTTATCACTCATAACAAGTAGAAGAAAAATATTTACACATTTACCTGCAAGATTGTCGATTTCTTTCTCCTGCAGCAAGCTGACTGCATCATCATCCCCTTCCAGCATAAGTTCTGTCTCTGCGTTCTGATTCACTATTGCTTGACTTCTGAAGGTTTTCTTGGACTTTACCACATCTTCTTCAGTGCCTAATCACAACCAAAATAATACGGGTGATCATGATTGCTTGGCTTTTTGTATAAAAAACAACCTATTACTTTCTTATAAGTTTATGCTGCACTTACATATGACTTCACAATTACAGAATTAGAGAACATTTTCCCCTTCATCCGGTTTGCTTTCAGAAAAGCTTTGAGAAAGGTGGGGGGTGTAATCACCTACCCTCATCTCACAGATGAGGAAGCAGGCCGAGAAAGTTCATGTCTCATGGAGACCTAGGAGTTGGCGTAGGAGAAAGCCCCCCATGTCTTGGGGCTCTAAGATCACCATTTTCTATAAAAAATCTGCACCTCCCCACAAACTTGGCTTTCTGATACATAAAAGTACACAATTCTACACAATTGTACTTTTGTGTGAATTGGATAATCATTACATGAGATCATTTTTTTTAATTTTAAAGTTTCTTTATTTTGAGAGAGAGGGAGAGAGTGTGCAAGTGAGGAAGGGGCAGAGAGAGAAGTCCAAGCAGGCTCTGTAGCCCGATGCGGGGCTTGAACTCCTGAACCGTGAGATCATGACCTGAGCTAAAAGTCACTTGCTTAACTGACTGAGCCACCCAGGCACCCCAATCAGATCATTTTTGAAAGTACAGAAGTATGAAGAAAACAAGAACGCATCCACATCTGAAGAGAGAAGTGGTTGCCACTGGGACGCTACAAACAGGTGGAGTTAGGACTAGTATAGACATAAAATGTGCTGCACAATTGCTATTAACAGTTAGTGAAATCAATAGTTTTTCTAAACTGATAGCCTTATTTTGTTATATAAAATAGTATAGAAGGCCAAATATATAAAAACAAAGTAAGTCAGAAAAATTGAAATACAGCCAGAGCTGACCTAGCATTAACATGGCAATCAGTTAAGGTTACAAATTACAATGCATTTGAATCTCTCATGGATCTGACTGCGTAATGGATGTAATTCAGTATTTAAATTTCTACATTATATTAAAATATCTTAAGAACAGCCACTTCAGCCACCCGCTTTGGCAGGTGATGATGACTCAAATGATCTGAATAGCAAGTAAACTTATATATATACATACACACACATACACACATATATATGCGTGTATGTATATATATGTAAACATACATATATTTTAGCTATCTATCTATATAGATAGCTAAAAAACACCTCTATTTCATATCACTTGAAGGAGGAATTTCTTCTGGAAGAAAATGTAATTTAATGTGTTCTAGCTGTAGTATTAGCATATAGGCTTCAAGGAAGCAGCGTTTCCTGGGAAAATACCTACACGTCATTAGGCATGGTGGAAATATTCCTGAAAATGGGAGCCTAATACATCACTCCTGCATGGTGGTGTCACATCAGAGTTCTAGGGGCTGTTATGATGTTTGTGTACATGTGCAATAACTCTCCAAATCTTATCACACCTTTGGCCAAAATTCTCTACAGTGAACAATTAGCAATACTTTTGGTCCATTCTCCCAGCCTCAATATAGGACTTTGGATATTAATAGTCCATTAATGTCTGTGATATCTGCTCGACCATTTCCTCAGAAGTACATCTAGCCGCTGTAAAACTTGCATGGGAAAAGAGCTAGCCTTTCATTGCAACTTACACACTTGTTTCTGTCAGCGACTCAGAGCAAACTTGTTTCTGTCACACTCAGAGCAAATTCTGTTTGCTTAAAACGTTAATAAGTTGGCTCAAAAGTAGCACGTGGAGGAATAAAAAACATATGGGGAACACGGTCATGTCATAATAGCGCTGTAGAATGTCACTGTCAGAGAGGTACAGTCTGTTATCCTAGCTCTTACTGGATAATGGCAATTAGAACAGCATAAAGTAATAGATTTGTTAAAACATATTTTGATAAATACTTCAGAAACAAACAATATGATTACAAATTAATGCTACGTGGGAGGTGAGAGGAATTAAACAGGTTATATGTATATTCTTTCACAGGCCCACAGATGATTCTTACTTCTGGAATAAAAGCCTGAGGACTGAATACTGAATGCTCCAGAATCTTATCTTAATTTTATTTGGTTTCTTGGTGATATAAAGCCAGTAAAACAGAACTCTTCTGGGGGTAGCTATCTTTATAGCTTGTTTGCTTCTTGGGTAGTAACTTAATTTGAGCAACTCAGAGCTTGCATCATCTGAGAACAAAAGACACAAATCCAATGATTAATAACCGAGAAGCCATATTTCTATTAGACATCTGCAGTTGGGTATTCCTAATTCCACATTTCCCTAACTGAATGAATCATCTCTGGCTTCTCCACCTCTCCCTGTTTTGATACACCCACTTACTTAAGCCATAAACCTTGGGGGTCATCCTGGAAGGTGACTGCCATGGCCCCAGCTCAGGCTCCCATTGTTTTAGACTGGAGGTCTTCAATAGCTCCCTTATTCACTCTATCCCCATGTTTTTGTCAGAGTGATTATTACAAAGCAGAAATAAATTGATATTTTCCTGCTGAATATTGTTTACTAACTCCTCCCAATCAACAACATTCAATGCAAGTCTTACATGATAGGAGTCAAAATCTAAACTCCTTGGGGCGCCTGGGTGGCTCAGTCGGTTAAGCGTCCGACTTCAGCTCAGGTCACGATCTCGCGGTCCGTGAGTTCGAGCCCCGCGTCGGGCTCTGGGCTGATGGTTCTGAGCCTGGAGCCTGCTTCCGATTCTGTGTCTCCCTCTCTCTCTGCCCCTCCCCCGTTCATGCTCTGTCTCTCTCTGTCTCAAAAATAAATAAACGTTAAAAAAATAAACTCCTTAGCACAGCTGGTCTAGGCCTTTTATCCTCATTACCAGTTTTGCATTATATTTTCTTACTCCCCCATCACCATTACTGAACCAGTTATAGCTTCCAAAATACGTGCTCGGACCTTTTCACCCAGGGCTAATATTATTCCCTCTGTATGGTGTGTTCCTTCATTCCTCCTTTGTTGGGCTAATTCCTATTTGATCTTTCAAATTACCTCCTTTAGGTGCCTTTCTTAGCCAACCACTCTGTGCTTTCACAGCTTACATAGAACTCAACTACACTGTACAGGTGTTAATCTGTTATGTGTTTGTCCTTTCCATTAGATTATGGCCTTGTTTCTGCAGCCTCTGCACCTGGTACCCAGGGGACATGTAACAAACATTCGCTGAATGAGTTCAAGTCTACCCACTCTGTGTTCCCTTCTCTGATTTCTCTTATTAAAGAAAAAAATTATTTATTCATTTTTGAGAGAGACAGAGACAGTGCAAGTAGGGGAGAGGCAGAGAGAGAAGGAGAGAGATAGAGAGAGAATCCCAAGCAGGCTCTGAACTGTCAGTGCAGAGCCTGATGCTTGGGCTCAAACTCATGGAATGATGAGATCATGACCTGAGCTGAAACCAAGACTCTGATGTTTAAACAACTGAGCCACCCAAGCACCCTTCTGATTTCTGATTTATTTATTTATTTGTTTGCTTTTTTAGAGAGACAGCAAGTGCGAGCAGGGGAGGGGCAGAGAGAGAGGGAGAGAGAATCCCAAGCAGGCTCTGCACTGTCAGCACAGAGCTCGATGCTGGGCTCTAACTCACAAGACCATGAAATCATGACCTGAGCTGAAATCAAGAGTTGGACACTTAACCAACTGAGCCATCCAGGCACCCCTCTGATTTCTCTTATTTTTTTCTTTATTATTTATGGGGGGGGGCAGGAGAGGGGCACAGAGAGAGGGAGAGAGCAGGCTCCAGGCCCAGGGCAAAGCCCAAGGCTAGGACTCAATCTCACTCCCATAAGATCATAACCTGAGGGAAACCAAGAGTCAGACGCTTAACTGACCGAGCTACCCAGGCACCCCTCTTCGCAGATTTCTTAAGCTAAGTTTGTGTGCTTTTTCCCTTATGCTTCCCCCACCCTTGCAAATCCTACTACTGGAGTTACAGGTATTGGAATTGGCTGTTGGCTTGTTGTCTCCACACAGCCCAAAAGCTCCTTGATCACTGGCAACATGTTTCTGTCTTTGTCTTCTCAGTTCTTAGCACACTGCCTGACACAGAGTGAGCCCTCCTAAATGCTAAACAAATGGATGACCTGAGACATAAACGTCACCTCTGGATATTTCTTAATCTGAAGATCCTAAGATTTCTCAGAGATTCTGGTTGATCTGCCTCCAATTTGGGGGCAAACTGGAGAATCTGTGTATTTACACAAAAGGGAACTTGGTTCTTTACATGAAATAATCAATTAAACCCTTTAAGTATGAGTCAGCCTGATAAAACATGTTTTACCTTGTACACAATCATGTTTAATCTGCTTTGTCATTAAGAAAAATGCTTTACATCACTCTTGTGTTATTAAAATCTACAAATAAAATAAATGTAGTCAAAGGAAGGTAAACTCTGAAATGCATATTAAGCTTTCAATTTTATCATCTCTGGTTTTAAAGTAGTAAAACAATCATGCCTTTAAAAGATAGATAGTAAAGTAATCTGTACCAACACACTGAACTTGCCACCCCTGTTTGAAGTGTTATCAGTCTGTAGCTCAGTAAACTTCCTGATTTTGTGGTATTGCACCAAACATTTATCTAAATTAAAGTGTACAAGATCCAAAGGTGCTTTTCAATTGCAATATCTTTTATGAATTAGAGATTCATTCATCAAAATTACAGGCAAGAAGAGGTAAGGTCTCAAAGGGCTGTCTCATTACAAGGCTTATAAACACTGTCCTTGGAAAGAATTGGTTGAACACCCAACAAATCAAAATCTGATTGGGAAGAGAATTTATTTGAGATCATCTGTCTTCAGAAGACATGTTGGACTGAGTGCACTTCTTGGCCTCTTTAACCATTCATCAAGAAATTAACAAGCAAATACTACAGACCAGGAGAACTCCCTACTTAGATTTGAAAATGTTAATTGTGTGTAAAATTGGATAGTATACACATATACACTTATTTTCTAAGAAAACATCAAAATGCCATAAGTTGGGAAGGTTCAGAAACAAAAAAATGCCA